ATGATGATGCTGACGAGGATGATGAGGATGAGGATGATGGCGATGCTCATGATGATGGTGGTGACGATGAATATCATGATGATGATGATGATGATGATGATGAAGGTGGTGATGACGACGGTGATGATGATGATGTGTAGGAGGATGAACTGGTGGTGATGATGATAATGATGATAGTGATGCTGATGATGACGATGACGATGACGATGACAATGCCGATGACGATGACGAGGACGGTGACAGTGATGGCGCTGGCGATGCGGCAACTGATAACGATTGTACAAAGTATGGTGATGCTGAGGCAAAGCGCCCCCGCAGAAAGTCGATTTGTCTGAAAAAACGTGTGGACAACCATTTGTGCTCGAATGTGGTTGAACACATTGGTGTTGAAACGGTGAGAAGACAAATGGCGCGTGCTCCCCGCGTTTCCTTGTTTGGCAGCGCTGGCGGGCACGCGATGGCAGTTGAACGTTCTCGAGATGAGCACGCGCGCGGCCCGCGTAGTCTCATTTGACAGAGCGGCTAAATACCCTTGGCAGTCTTCCGACTTCAGCGACTGCGCGCGGTCAGAATTTGGGCAACGCACTGCTCAAAATTTGGGCAACGGACTCCTCAGAATTATGAGGGTCCTTCTGTTCTGAAATGGTCAGAAATACCGGGGGCTCGACTGATTTTGACATGCACGCGCGGCGGCGGGCGCGTGTGCCCAATGTGGTATATGTTGCAAGAGTTCGTTAGGGATAGATTGTGTTAGATCAACGCATGCGCAATGTGGAATAGTGTGTGAAAAAAATGAGGGTGGCAAGTTCCCGGACTAGCTGACATGCTACTGTTTGAGACGTAGGACGAATGATCGTGGTATGCGCAATTGAACTAAGTCTAAGCACTCAGAAACAGCATGGTACGGATAAGCAAGTCTGGCCTCGGGAAGGGAGGGCTCTCATTCCTTGAGGGGAAAAGACCAGATCAGGCGTCAGCAAGCTGAGCGGTGTACCCAGAGCAGTGTCACCTATGTGGTCAGCATAATATATGCTGTGTAAGCGATGTGGCGAAAGCTATGTGATGCAAGCTGTGCGGTCAGCTGTGTGATTCAAGCTATGCGGCGCAGGCTGCGCGGCGCAAGCTCTGTTGTGCAAGCTATGCGGCTGCCCACAGGCGCCCCCGAGACGCCCACGAGCGGCCACAGGGGGCAAAGTGGCGAAGCCTCGACAAACCCACCCAGCGCACGGGGCGGGACGCCCACGAGGCGGCCACGGACGGCCACGTGGCGAGACCCCGGCAGACCAGCTCAATTACTTAAAAGCGAAGTAAGAACACCGAGTACTACCATTACTACTACTACTACCTACCACCACTACTACTACTTCTTCGTCCTCTTCCTACTACGACGATTACGACGACGACTACTACTACTACTACTACTACTACTACTGCTACTACTGCTACTACACCTACTCCTACTCCTACTACTGCGACTACTACTACTACCACCACCACCATACACTACTACTACTACTACTACTACTACTACTACTACTACTACTACTACTACTACTACTACTACTACTACTACTACTACTAGCTACTACTACTACTACTACTACTACTACTACTACTACTACTACTACTACTACTACTACTACTACTACTACTACTACTACTACTACTACTACTACTACTACTACTACTACTACTACTACTACTACTACTACTACTACTACTACTACTACTACTACTACTACTACTACTACTACTACTACTACTACTACTACCACTACCACTACCACTACTACTACTACTACTACTACTACTATTACTACTACTACTAGTAATACTAATAATACGAATGATAATACTATATCACTCATACTTGTTCTACGACTTCTACTACTACTACTACTACTACTACTACTACTACTACTACTACTACTACTACTACTACTACCACTACCGCTACTACTACTACTACTACTACTACTACGACTACTAGTACTACGACTACTACTACTACTACTACTACGACTACTACTACTACGGCTACTACGACTACTACTACTAATACTACGATCACTACTGACAAACAAATACGACTACAACAACGACGACAAAGACGACGACTACTACTACTAATACCACTACGACATTACGAGAACTTCTACTGCGACTACGGTTGCGGCTACGACTACGACTACGACTACAACTACAACTGCGACTACGACTACGACTGCGACTGCGCCTACGACTGCGACTACTGGTACTGCTACTAGAACTACTACCTCTCCGACTACTACTAATACTACTACTACTACTACTACTACTACTACTACTACTACTACTACTACTACTACTACTACTACTACTACTACTACTACTACTACTACTACTACTACTACTACTACTACTACTACTACTACTACTACTACTACTACTACTACTACTACTACTACTACGGCTGCTGCTGCTGCTGCTGCTGCTGCTACTACTACTACTACTACTACTACTACTACTACGACCTCCTACTACGACTACTATCACGACAGGGAGTACTACTACTACTACTACTACGACTACTACTTACTACTACTACTACTACGAACGACTACCACCACTAATTTACTACTCACTACACGACTGTACACTCTACTACACTACTACAACTACTGACTACTACAACTACTGCTACTACTACTACAACTACTACTACTACTATACAACTATTCCTATTTTTACTACAACTACTTAACTACTACTAACTACTACTACTCACTACTGCTTAGAACTGCTAGAACTACAACTAAAACTATGTTACAACTATCTACTCCTTCTATTTCTACTCCAACTACTGCAACTAACTTCCGTACTACTACACACCACTACTACTACTACTACTACTACTACTACTACTACTACTACTACTACTTCTACTACTACTACTACTGCTGCTGCTGCTACTACTACTACTACTACTACTACTACTACTACTACTACTACTACTACTACTACTACTACTACTACTACGACTCGTACTACTACGACTACTCCTTTTACTACTACTACTACCACTACTACTACTACTACTACTACTACTACTACTACTACTACTATAACTACTACTACTACTACTACTACTACTACTACTACTACTACTACTACTACTACTATTACTATTACTACTGCTACTACTACTACTACTACAACGACTACTACTACTACTACTACTACTACTACGACTACGACTACGACTACGACTACGACTACGATACTACTACTACTACTACTACTACTACTACTACTGCGATTACGACTACGACTACGAGTAAAACTACGACAACGACTACGACTACCGCCACCTCCACCCCCACCACCACCAGTACTACTACGCCTACTACTCCTACTACTACCACTGCTACTATTACTACTACTACTACTACTACTACTACTACTACTACTACTACTACTGCTACTACTACTCTACTACGAACGACTACACTACTACGACTGATATACTACTACCGACCTAATTCTACCTGCTTCTTCCTTCTACTACTACTACAACTACTACTCCTACTACTACTCCTACGACTAACTACTACAACTACCGCTACTAACTACTACTACTACTACTACTATTACTAACTACCACTATAGAACATTACTAACTACTAACTCTACTTACTACTACTAACTTGTCTCTACGAACTACTACCACTATCCACTACTGCTACTACTACTACTACTACTACTACTACTACTACTACCAAACTACGACTACTACTACTACTACTCCTACTACTACTAACTACTACTACTACACTACTACTACGATTACGACTACTACAGCTACCACCAGTACTCCATCACTCCTGATTTTATGACGACTACTACTACTACTACTACTACTACGACGACGATGACTATTACCACTACTACTACTACTACTACTACTACTACTACTGCTGCTACTATTACTACTACTACTACTACAACTACGACTACGTCTACGACTACTACTACTACTACTACTACTACTACGACTACTACTACTACTACAACTACTACTAGTATTGCTACTACTACTACTACTACTACTACTACTACTACGACTACGACTACGACTACTACTACTACTACTACTACTACTACTACTACTACCACCACTACTACTTTCTATTACTACTACTACTACCTACTACTACTAACTACTACGAACTACGAACGACTACGAACACTACTACTACTACTACTACTACTACTACTACTACTACTACGCTACTACTACACTACTATAGAACAACACTACTACTACTACTACTACTACTACTACTACTTACTACAACTACTTCATTACTACTACTACTACTATAACTACTACTACTACTACTATTACTACCACTACCTACTACTACTACTACTACTACGAATACTACTACTACTACTAATACGACTACTACTACTACTACTACTACTACTACTACTACTACTACTATTACTACTACTACTACTACTACGACTACAACAACTACTACGACTACTACGACAACTACTACTACTACTACTACGACGACGACAACTACTACTACTACTACTACTACTACTACTACTACTACTACGACTACTACTACTACAACTACTACTACTACTACTACTACTACTACGACTACGGCTATCACCACTACAACGACAGAAGCTTCTAATTGCTCATACTGCTCTGCGACCAAGCGCTTCGATCACAAAAAAGAAGCACTGACCCCGCTAGATGTAATTGTCCATACGTCATGAGCATACTAAAACTATCCGTACGTGTGTATACTTACATCACAAATACATACACACACAAAAAGAACTTCGGACGACGACAGAGTAGAAGGACAAATTAACAGTAGGACCCAAGCAGGACAGGAGGAGCAGCACAGGCGGCAGGAAGAGAAGCAGCAACCACAGCATGGACGAGCAGCAACAGCAGACGCGAAGGCAGAGAGCGCCAACGGCCACCGAGCAAACGCGACGAGCACGCGCGGCGGAAGAGCGGCCGCCGCACGCCTCCTGTGCACGTCGCCCCCCGCGAGCAGCTCGTACACGAGGAACCGCTTCGACCTGGCCGCCGCCGGCGCGTAGGCGGCCGTCGGCCAACTCTCCTCGGGGAGGCACTCGCCCTCGGAGGCACTCAGGAGGCCTTCGGGAGCCATCGGAGGCCTCAGGGGCCCTGGGCCTTCGCAGAGCCCGCGGGGGGGAGGCGGGCTGGGCGGCGGTGGGCGGTCGACGGGGGGGCATACACAGTGTAACTACTGCAGGTGGGATGGGCAGGATTGCGGCAGCGCTTCGCCACCCCCGGCCCGTAGAGGGCCGTGCTAGCAGCACGCTGCGAATTGCCCGTCGAGTCTCGCAAGCAAATCGTTGGCAGCGCTGGACGGCGGTGGGCCGCCTGTGGATGGCACGCGCGACCGCGTCATGGCCTCGAGGCGCTCCGCACCGATCGATATGGAGGTGAAGGGCGGGAGGCCAGGAGATGAGGAATGCAGGAACGCGGGAAGAATCGCCCACCGATCCTGCGCGCGCGACCCGTGGCTTCCTCCTCTTTTTCCTCCTCCTCCTCCCCCTCCTCCTCCTCCTTCTCCTCCTCTTCCTCCTTCTTCTCCTCCTCCTTCTCCTCCTCCTCCTCCTCTCCTCCTCCTCCTCCTCCTCCTCCTCCTCCTCCTCCTCATCCTCCTCCTCCCTCCTCCTCTTCCCCTTCCCCCTCCCCCTCCCCCTCCCCCTCCTCCTCCGCATCCTCCTCCTCTTCCTCCTCCTCCTCCTTTTCCTCCTCCTTCTCCTCTTCCTCCTCCTCCCCTCCTCCCCCTCCTCCCCCTCCTCCCCCGCCTCCTCCTCCTCCTCCTCCTCCTCCTCGCCCTCCTCGCCCTCCTCCTCCTCCTGCGCCTCCCTCCTCCTCCTCCTCCTCCTCCTCCTCCTCCTCCTCCTCCTCCTCCTCCTCCTCCTCCTCCTCCTCCTCCTCCTCCTCCTCCTCCTCCCCCTCTGAGGAGCAACGTAAGGGGGAGCAGCTCGGTGGGGGAAGCATCGAGCTGAAATCGGCGACACATCGCCGATGGATCGGTGACATATCCCCGATAGCGAAACCGTACATTCCTGGAAGGGTAGGCCATCGGGCCCCCATCGGATAGGAGAGGAGAGAAGAGGAGGGAAGGGAAGGGAAGATAAGAGAAGAGAGAGAGACGAGAAGAGAAGTGAAGAGAAGAGACGAGAAGAGAAGGCAATATTAGATAAGTTGAGATAGCATAGGAGAATGTAGTGTAAGCCCCCAAAAAAAGGCCAATGGTATATCAGATAAGAAAAGGTAAGAAACTAGTATATAGTATGTAATATGATAAGACCATATCAGATAATGTAAGATACTAAACGATTAGAGCAGAACATCTAATATAAGATCATAGTAGCTCATACAGGGTAAGGTATGATATGATATGCTATGATATGATATGATATGATATGATATGATAATGTGAGGTACGATAAGGAAACATAACATATTATAAAACAAGAGCAGAGAAGAGAAGAGAAGATATGATAAGGGAAGATAAGAGAAGAGAAGAAAAGAGAAGAGAAGAGAAGAGAAGAGAAGAGAAGAGAAGAGAAGAGAAGAGAAGGTATGCTATGATATAATAATGGAAGATAAGATCAGCTAGTGTAACAAACTATTAGATCAGATGTAATGAGATAAGACAGTATATAATGATATAAGATTAGTTCAACTAATGAAACTGATAATATGGTAATATATTACTATGTTATATGATGTAACACCTGATACGATAAGAAAAATAGGATATCATAGCAGTATATATAATGTGAGAGAAGAAGATAAAGAGAGATATAAAACTTATTAAGAATAATGATGGTAATAATACATATATATATATATAAACAAAAAACAACAACAACAACAACAACAACAACAACAACAACAACAACAACAACAACAACAACCAACAAAAAAAACAAAAAAAACGAGAAGAGCAGAGAAGGAAAGAGAAGGGAAGAGAAGAGAAGAGAAGAGAAGAGAGAACAGAAGACATGATAAGAGAAGAGAAGAGCAGCGAAAAAAAAGAGAAGAGAATAGACGAGACGAAACGAGAAGAGACGAGAAGAGAAGAGAAGAGAAGAAAAAAGAGCAGAGGGGAAGAGAAGCAAAAAGAAGATAATAGATGATATGATACGGTAACAAAAGAGAAGAGAAGAGAAGAGAAGAGAAGAGAAGAGAAGAGAAGAGAAGAGAAGAGAAGAGAAGAGAGAAAAAGAGAAGAGAAGAGACGAGACGAGACGAGACGAGAAATGAAGGGAAGGGAAGGGAAGAGAAGAGAAGAGAAGAAAAGAGCCGTGGGCAGAAGTGAAGAGAGGACAGGAGGACAGAAGATAAGAGAAGAGAAGAGATGAGAAGAGAAGAGAAGGTGAAAGACGAGAGGAGAGAAGAGAAGAAGAGCAGAGAATAGATAAGAAGATACGAGAAGA